ACGATACTGTACGTGCTGCTCAGCTCCGTTATCTGCGTGACAGCTCTCCAGTAGTATTTTGTTATTGATTTTGGAGAGTAAGAAATCAGTAACAATTTCTGTTCACTGTGCAAAATATCTAACAGAAAACTTAAACCACAAGGGACAAAGCAAAACATAGTACTAATATAAAGAGCTATCAAGTGATTAAAACACAACAAAAGGAGAGGTACAATATTTACTTCCACTAAAATGAGAATTTCAGGTATTATTGGTGACTATTGATTAAAAAAATTCAACCAGAAGCCAAAATTTTAAATGGGAATAAAACATTGTTGGAAAGGCTCTTCACTGTGTATTAGCTAGCTTTCAAAGCTCTTCAGAGTAAGACATATCACAGGCCATTTTCTCTATCAAATATCAAGCAATAAGGCAAATTAAAACTGAGGGACACAATACAGCTATGAATTTGCTACAAGTGACTTGCTATCTTCTGCATCTTGCAAACATATTCTTCAAAAATGTTTCTGCATACCAGTGGTGGTATCTTCACTGGTCAAAAAAACCATGTTCAAAGACCAAACGGCTGGCTTCAGTACCTTTCCACTGTTAAGAAAACAACAACAACAACAACAAACAACCAAAAACCAACCCCCCCCCCCACACACACATACCCTTGATGAAACCAAGACAAGTCATTTATCTTGATAATCTAGGTCAGCTTCAGCTAATACACAGATGAATGGGAAACAGGAGATTCAAGGGACAACACTGTTTGGGATTCACTAAGAAGCTAAAGTAAGTATTTCCCACCATTTCCACTAAGATTTGAACACAAGTATAGCTTGTTATTTAAAGACATATTACAGGGAAGAGAAAAAACAAAAAGTCAAACCAAAACCTAAGTCCTCAGTAAAACTTACAGGTTCCTTAACATCATGGAAGTTCAAGAGTACAGAATTCAAGACTGCACTTGTTTTTAATGACGCCTTCTGTAGTTTCTAGAAAATCTTGCACATCTGACAGTAGCACAGCTTAGTATTGGTGTACGTGCAAAGTGACTGAAAAAAACTTTTATTGAAAAATAGTAATAATGTCCTAAGGAATTAGTACTTTCCTGGAACACTGAAAATCTTCTCAACTAGGTTGATGAAAGGTGTCAAACACCACTAACATGAACTTCTACAAAAAGGAAATCGTAGGAAACTAAAATAATATTTCAAGCCCAGTAAACTATTCAGTAGTGTAAGTGCTTGTATTTTATGCAGTAAGAGAAAATACGAAAAAAAAAAAAATGAAACAAACCCAAGTGATTCAGCAAACAGTGACAGACTGGCCATATGTCTTTGCAGATTCTTCACTGAGTAGTGGAATTTCCAGAATGTCACTCAAAAATTGATAAGAAATAAGTCCAGGGCAACAGCACAGCGAATACAGGAGGTACTTCATAATATATAAAGGACAAAAGAATGGAGACAATGAACAGAGAGCATGTTCCAGGTATGCAGAACTACCAAGAAAGCAGCACAGAGGTAACAGAAAGGTAACTTGTGTCCTGGTCTCAGCACAAAGCACAACTGAGCAGAGTAGCAAGGAAGCAGGGCTGTATCTGGTTCTCAGATCAGGGATCTCCATTCAGTGCTAGAAACAAGCAGCAGATACGGAATGAGTAAGCATATATGGAGGAACCTATCATGTAAACAGCTGTGTAGTATGCTGATCTTACTAGCAAATACTGTAATATTAGTGGCTGACAAGTAAGAAATCTTCCAGTCTTAGCACAAGAAAGTAGTCTGGACAACATCCAAGAATAATGCCATCAAGTACCTCAACATTATTTGCCTCTATCTCTTTCCATTGTTACAAGAAGGCAAGAAATCTGTTACCTAACATCTAGCCAATTTCGTGATTTAAACAAAAGGTGACTGACATCTGTTTTAGGTGAGACATTGTTGACAACTGGATACTAATTGCAGGAAAATGGAAGAAGAGCTACTGGGAAGGAGAGGAAGTCAAGTCACTCAATCTCTTAACTAAGGTAGGTATCTTTAAGGTGTTCACAGATAATTGATGATGATAAGCACAAGTAACTGGACAGATGCCTGGTGTTTTCAAATTCCCTGCATGTATCAATAGCTCTTGTTTATACAGAGTAAAGATGGAGGTTATACTTTTTGCTTCAAATACCTTTAACTTGGGACATTTTTAGAATTGTAATAAAATTATAATAGACATAATAAAATACATCCTCATTCAAACAAAAAGAGTCTTTTACAGTACTTGCTACAAAAGATGAAGCTGAGCAATTGGTTTTCCAGGAGGCATTTAAGTACTAAGGCCTCCATACATAACACTTTGAGTGTTAGCTTTGCTACAGGATACTACAGTATCATGGCAGAGAGATAAAAACTCGCAAGGACACAATGTTCACTCAGTACCAAAAAAATCTGACCAAAGGTATCAATACAACCATGGCACTGTATCCAGGTTATGTGGACAAAAACACCAAGAAAGAAGAGCAGGTTGGGCTGGATGCAGGATGTTGGACTAGATGACCTCCACCAGTCCCTTCCAACCTATTTGAGTCTGTGATTAAGAAAAGCTCAGAGATGCAGTTACAAGTTAAACACTTCTCAGTGTTTTTTAATACGTATAAAAGAGATACTTCATTAGACGCAAGCTTCAAGAATGCTGATGTCATATAGTTTCTTTAGAAACAGAAGACCCTGACAATCCCTCTCTAAAATCAATTTAGTCTTCCCAGAATTAAGAGCACCAAACATATGAAGATTTTATTTTCAGTATTCCTTTAAAGAACATCTAAAATTTAGCAAGAGAAGCTATCATTCTTCCCCCAAGCACAGCTTTATCATCATGAAAGCAGATAATTCCTCTAAACTACATTAATTTTGTTCACAAAGGAAAGAAAGAATCTGTCAAAAAGAAAAAGTTGACCGAAGAAATGTTCGCTCTTTCTACAGATTTTTCACAGATTCACGAGTTTGACTATGACCCGACAGGGTGTACAGATTGGGATTTCAGTAATAGCATCATTGGAGAAGAGAGACAACATTTGCCTCTATAGTATAAGGCCTCAAGAAGCATTTAGAGAACAATTCCCAGGAGTTCTCTAAGCACCTTCTTCCACATGTGGCTGCTCACTACCTTATTGAAGTGACACATGAAAACACAAAAAATACATTTAAATGATACAACATGAATAATGTAGTATTATAAAACTTAAGTTGACATAATTGCCTACTTTTCTATCCACCAGATCACTCAAACACAGCTTGACTCATTAGTAAGTGTAGACTAATAAAACTGATCCCAGGCAGGTGAGTATACAGGTGAGCCTGGTGTGAAGCCAGTTTAAATGTAGCTGGAGTCCTGATTTTTGCGTAAATCCTTTCATGAGTTCCCATGCCAAACAAAGCAGAGTGACCACTACATATACATTTAATGAATTATCAGTAAGGTCCCTTTGAGTTTTTGCAGCTTTTTAGTGTTTTAAGCCAGAATTTCAAGAAGTTCCAAAATCTGATCTTACTGCGTTAAGTACGAAACTGATCCCAAAGTTCTCCATTTGCTGCATATTTCTGAGTTGGCAACAGGAAGAAGTTACTGTGGAAGAGCGAACAACTGTATGACAGGGCTTCAAGCATACAAGAAAACACAGAATATACTTTCAGCATTCAGTAAGAAAAACATCCCTTCTGAATGACCTAATTGTGGCAGAAGATAAGGTGTTTCCAACTGATGTGAAGGAGTATCCTTCTCTGTTTATTCCCTTGTATACCAGCAATTCCCAATGAATTTTTTTCTCCTCTATAATACTATCTAATATTGATCGATGAGAACATTTTGTGGTTAATGCTCTGTAAATGAATCAAATGCTTACATCTCAGTTAAAATGCTTCCGTTTTAGAGCTGCACTGATATTGCCAAACAAGAAAGTATTTTTGCAGGGTGTCACTACTGTTTCTAAGGTCTGAGGTTCCTATTTTGAAGATGATTTTCTCAAGAGAACTAGCAACATACAATTTTGTGGTACTCTTCAGAATGCAGCAATACACCACTTTTCATGGCTTCCAAACACCGGATACTTTCTTTTGTTCTGTTTTTCTTGCCTAGTGCATATAGTGTTTTTTCTTAGAAAAAAAAATTTACAATACAAGCCAATATAAATATTACCCTACGAATCAGTATATTAAGACTACTGTTAGCAATAGCAAGCAAGAAGCTCTCTGAATATATCCATAAATCCACCCTTTCAGAGATTCATTCCATATTCAACTTTTTAAGAGCCTAAAAGAAGTCTGCATTAAACTGTTTACTATGCTTCACATTTTGACCGATTTTCTTTTGATCTGAGCTTGGCAGGCTTTTCAGAATTGTTGTTTCCTATACAGAAAATGTATCTGTGCAGGAGCCTGTTAAATGTCAAAATGGAGTAATTACATATTATATCCCAATACCAATTATTTTGTTAGTCTAATCTATTAAATAATTCTGTTACGCTGTACATGCTTAAAAATCATAAATATTTCAAGTGACTTTTTATTAAGTGATTACAGATATCCTTCTTTAAGATCATACCTGTTTAAACAAACTGATAAGAACATTCATATGAACAGTACTTAAAAGTCACAAACTACTACCTTAGATATAATGTGAGGTTTGCTTTAAACACACATCTTGATGACATCAGGACTGGAACAGCAGTATCCTCAAGAATGCTAAACAAGAAGGTTGTTTTCAATGCAGAAAAATGTGCAATGAATTCCTCATTTGCTTTTAAATATTGATATAAAGTTGTGGTAATGAGGCACTCTTAAAAACAACATCAGGGTCGTGGCCAGAGAAGTGGTTCAAAAATATGCATGGCAGAGCTGGTTTGTTGGGGTTTCTTTCGTTTTTCTTTTTTTAGAATGCCTTCATGTATCAAAAAGTTCCCCTGCTAGCCTAATTTAATGCTTTCATTTTTTCTAATTACGCTGAAACATCAGTTAAGAGCCTACCTGATGTTTTGGAGAATTTGCTGTGCTGGGATTGATATTCCGCAATGCCTAAGAGTAAAAATAAGATGGATAAAAATTACTTTAGCTGCATGGTTTGCCTATGCAGGCTGTCTTATAAATACCATCTTGTAGTATCAAGCCCCCAAGACAGGCCAGATGAGACAGGATAAGGGAGTTAAGAAACTATGAAAATCATGACACAGTGAAACAAAACTCACAGATTTACCAAGGATGCGTATTTGACAGATAAGCTTAATGACCAGGGAGAACAACATGGAGGGAACTGGCTGTCACCTGCTCCAAAGTTAGTCAGGTTCTCAATGGCAACTGAGGCAAGAAGACAATTAGAAGGCCTACCTAAAAGCATGCTAGCACAGGGTAAAATGTTTGTTGGTGGATTAATTGCAAAGCAGGAACAGCAGAAGCCCACGTGCTTAAGCAGAGAGAAAGTCCTGATGCCACCTTTGCAATGTACTCTTACCTAGCGTACTATAGAAAGTAATGGCTGCAAAGATGACCCATCTTACACCAAGAGATGCTGAAGATTCCTACAAAACAGGCCTTGACTACAAAGGAGATAACGGGAGTCAGATTCCAGGACAGAATACTGCAGGTGATGAAGAAAGAGAAAAGCTGTCTTTGAGGACATTAAGATTATTATCCTCTCCTGATACAAGGCCCATCACCCAAAGTGAAAAGGGAACAGGGTAAGATTTTAGAAGGTTTTCCTCAAAGAAAAGATTAGTGTTTGCTCTGCCAGTGTCAAAACCCCAAAGAATATCCTAATTATCTAGCAGAGATGGTAGTAACTCTTAAAACATTCAGATGGAAAAATCGAAGCAGAAGGCTTAGAGTCAAAAGGAAGTCAAGCCCGAATTCAAAATCCAGAGATTCCAATGTCCAGTCCTACACCTCAACATTTGCTACAGCTATATTCATACAGCAGAAAAATACTGAAAGGACTAGCTTGCAGCCTAATTAGGAAGTTTGAAATTCTTCAGCTTAAGAAAACCACAGGTTCAAAATGCAGGACGAGTGATTCAGTTGTTCCATGCTCCACTCCACGGTTTAACAGACAAGATTTTAGTGACAAGGTGTCTCCTCAATGTATCTTACATAAACTTTAAAAGTGCTTTGAAATCCTACAGACTGCGACAGGTTCTAGAAGTGACAGACTTTCCTCCACTTGAAAGGGAGAACTAAAGCAGCTGTGGGAACCAACTTCTTGCCTTTTTGCATGACTCCGAACTCAATGAATATGAAATATATTCTCAAGCGGAATTTTCAATCAGATCCACAGTCCATGATGTCATCCTAATAGTAAAGAAGCCTGCTCTCAGAGAGTTTTGTTAGAGAGAGGAATGAGGGAGGAAAGCAAAATCCTTCAGTCTGGTAAGTCAGATGCTCTCACTACCAAGTTGATATCAGTAACAGAATAATTCAGACATTTTCAGATCTCAAAGTTTTTTGTACAGTCACTGAAACAACTACTCAGCCAAACCAAAACATAACATACAAAAGAAATAGTGGAAGTAGGTGTCTAACCTGTGGCCTCACCTGCCGAAGCAGTTCTTGATGCTTCAGTCTCAGCCTTTCCTTCTCCATCTGTAGCTGCTGAAGTCTCATCTGTTGTTGCTGATTGGAGCTACTCCCACCCATCACACCACCTTGGGGACTCTGAGGAGCCAGAGGGGGTGGCTGTTTCACTGGAGCACTTTGGCTGATTCGCTGATTCATGGCTAAGGAACCAAAACAGTAAACATTTAAAAATGAAATTCAAGCAAATACATTCAAGGAAAGTATTATCCTCAGAAGGCATATACTAAAAACTTCACGAAATTACAAGCCATGACGGTACAAAACATGCAGCTACACTGATGTTCAGTGTGAAATGTATGCTCACGTGTTATTCCTGTGAAATCAATGCAACAGTCTCATGTTTAAGAGCACAAAATTGTTCTAAAAGCTTCTGAAAACAGTTAAATGTGTAAGTCGGTGAGAAATTCAAAAGTGGTAGTAAAATATTTCAAGTTTGATTAGAAGGAGCTCTCTCCCTCTTTCCTAATAAACTAATCTCAATTTAGACACAAATAATACAAAATCACTTCTCCATGTGAAATCTTAGAAACATTAAACTCGAGAACAAATAGAATGGCAAAACAGATCATCTCACTTATATCAAACTACATTTGGTTAAAGGCTACTATTCTTCCCAATGTAGAGCAGGTCATGCAACAATCATTCATATCCTCATCACATCAAGTTTGGAGTGTTACAGGCTCCATTTAGGGCATCTTGACATGCAAAATTAGAGCTGGTACAGAAACGGCAGATGAATTATACAACCAAAAATACTGCCATCAACATAGGAAACATTTTGCTAGTGCTTAGTTTTATTTTATCCCACAAAAGTATGTGATGCATCTTTTCTGGGGTATGGAGAAGAAAGTGTGTTGTCTTGTATGCCTAATGCACAACAAGAATCCATCTTCCCCACAAAAGCAAGACCTAAGACAATTTTAGTTTATAAAATAATGCATGACTGGGATGCATCTATTTGACAGGCCTGATTTTTCCCCGACACAAGACCAGTATGGTTAAAGTCAACAGAGGCACTGGAGTTCCCATAATGAAACAGAGTGATTGGAAAGGCTGAATGTATTAGAAGGGCACTATTTTCAGGGGCTTTCAGTTTTGGAATTAGCTTTCCATCCTGTTGTCTGGAACAGCCTGAATCTGTTAACTTTCACAATATGCCACAAAATGCATTTGCTGAAGCAGTGATGGGAGAGTGGCAGGGATTTTTTTTTTTTTCCTGGGAATAAGGATTATGGTTTATGTGAACTAAGAAAGAAAAGGGAGTGAGCTGCTTTTAGGATGGCAGGCTGATTTGATGCAAAGAAAACCATCTATTAGTTTGAATTAATGTTTTCATCATATAGAGGATTCCTGGAACACTTAATACTTCTAACTATGGTAAGAAAGGAGAATTATCTCATAAAGAATCTCTACCATCTTTTCTCTGAAAAGCCCTTCAGTCTCCACCGTCTGTTGAGTGTTTGACTTAACATGCAGTAGTGCTTTTCTTCTGTTCCCAGAAAGCCTAAATATATTCATCTCATAATAGCAGTAAAAATGGCTGTTGCTTCACAGCCATGCTCCCTTTCTGCCTTGCCACAGCTCATCTTTCCATTGAGAGATACCATATGAAAAAGAAATGCCGTATGCTTACTGGAGTGAGAGCAGAAAAAAAAAAAAAAAAAGTCAAAACCAGCTACAGACTCAACTCCCCAGCCTACCCTTTCAACTATTCCATAGGTCCAGCACAGAGTCAATAGCCTAATGGACAGGTGGGTCACATTTTCATGAGTCAAGTCAAAATAAAATGAAGTATCAAATAGCTTGAAGTCATTTAAAATTACATTTTATATAGTTATTTGTGAAAAAGCTTCATACATATGATCACAAATAAGATAAAACTTCCTGTAAAGGTAAGTGAACAGGTAAAGTAGGAATAGAAACTGAATCCCAGTACCAAGTAGAGACAACAGAGTGAATGCAAAGGACTGGAGGTTCAACTCCAACGTGCAAGTCCCATCCTGACCCAGCAGGGAAAAAAGATAGTGGGAAGATGATGTTGCTGTACATTGAAGCTTAAAATTGAGCAGTTGATCTTACGAGACGTCCGGCACCACTTCACCATCAAAATTTAATTTCAAGAAGAAGGTGACCAGGATAAGCCAATCAACCAGGTTTGTGATGTAAGCTGTGGTCGCTAGGCCAGCAACAGGAAGAGATAGGACAGCTTGTTCTTCTACTGAACAAACACGAAGGTTCTTATGTCCCAAGACCTCAGAAACTGTTAAGCAAAAGCTTCAACAGCACCAACAGCTGTCCTGCAAGGATATGAGCAGTGAACTGTAATTACAAGCTCCAAGACGTCCACTGGGCAATCTCTGCTGGAAGACTGACAGCAATTAGACTACCTACATTTACCAAATTAAGTGTGAAGTTGAAGCTAGAAAGCGCAATACAAAAAGAAAAGCAGCCCACCTAGCAGCTCTAGACAAAATAGACACGGCACAGCTGGAGTGGGGAATGTATCTCCTCCTTTCTCTCTTTATAATTCTGTAAAGTCTGGAGCCAGGACCATGCATTCTGCTTTTTCTATCTTGCCCTCTTTCACCTTCAAACAGACAATGAAGGGGCTAGTAGGGAACAACAGAACACAACAACCTTCTCTTGCTGTTAGCTAATTCTGCAGCTCAAGCAGATGTCCGTGCTACCCTACAGAAGCTCCAGGACCCAAACCCTGCTATTAAACAAGATGGAAGGCCAATTACAGTGGAAAGTAAAGAGGGACAAAGGTTAGCAAATTACAGTCACCTGAAAGCAGCACATCTAAGTTAAAAGCAAACTACCTAGCTTGTAAAAATAAAGTACCCAAAGCTGAAGAACGTCGATTTTCTTCTGGTTAAAAAGGCCACCTTTATGGTCTAGTCTCCAATTATCTAATCATGGTTTCAGAGTCCCTGTCTCATGCAGTTCACAGCCAAGTCATGTTACAGATAACCTCATAAAAATTTAACAGTTTCTAACCTTAGTTTAATACTTAAGCGCAGTATCACTAACATCTCTTCAACACGTTATGAATCTGTTTTTTCTGCATGCACCAAACAAGTATTACTTCCCTAGGTCTCTTTTCCACTAATATGCAGCTTTGGAAATAATTTCCTTCTCATGCCAAATTCTTCATATTTTATATACCGGTACCTTTCTCACAGATGCTTGTATTATTCCTGTTCTCTCTGACCACAGTTTGCTCCATGCTTCCCATAGACCAACCTTGCAATTAAAACTGTAAGAGACAAATCAAGTTTGTCTGATGTTTTGCATCTTATTCCCTCATCCTAGATCCCTGAAATGCCTTCTAATGTCCATTTTGAAAGTAATATTTCCAACTAAAAGTGTATCTAAAACAGGAATATCGTACGATATAGAGACTTCAGTGTGGGGGAAAATTTAATTATATGATTTGGTAACTCTTCAGAAACCAAACATAAAAATCTGGTTTCTAAATTCTTATTCAGGTATCCATTAAAAGGATTTTTCTGAGCATTTTATTATTTCAAGAATGAAAGTGCAAAAGACTTTAAATTGACAAGCTTTTAAACTGTCCTCAGAATAGATGTTTTTCATGTAAGGCAACTGTGAAATTAAACTGAAAGTTTGGACATTGAAAGAAGATACTGCTAACTGAATTTTACTGACTTAACAACATACCCAAGTGAAGAAGAACCAGTGGGAAAAAAACAACAGTAGTAACACTGAATTACTTTCAGCCATCCTGGCTGACTACACAAGTGTGCTATCATAAAGGGAAGCAGAATGAAGAACGTAATTTTCTATCATTTCCACCACAATATTTAACGAATAGAGGGAAAACACATCTTGTTTCAAGTGACAGGAAAAAACAGAGGATTTTAAAGTTTTTTTTTGCTGGTGGTTTGGTTTTTTTGTTTGTTTTCATTTTGTGTTGTTTTGTGGTTCGCGTTTTTTTAATTCTCAATTCTCCATTACTCACTGAGGACATGACTGCAGAAATCTGCACTCTAAAGAATATGCTTATCAATGTCACCTCAGATAAGCCCATTTTATTTTTTCTGCACCTCACAGGTTTGTGACGATCCTGACACGCACAGCTCTTTCTAAGTACTTTGAATTCAAAGGCAGCGAGCTTCATTTATCTATTAAGAGTTAGGACTTCCCAGTTTTCTAATGCATCCTGTTCCTTACCTTCCATGGCTATAGAAAGAATTTAAATAAGGGGCTCTGCACCCACACAGCAGAGGCTGCAAAGACCTCACAGGCAGAGAAGGAACAAACAAGTCTTTGTTTCTAGAAGAGGGGGATTTGAGGGGGGAGGAGGAGGAGGGGCAGACAAGTTAAAAAACAAGGGCAACTTAAGACAATAAGAAAGATCTTGCTGTCCTGTAATATGGCTTAGCTTTACAATCTGCGGAATACAGTCAATTGCAATAGCTGCAAAATGCTTTTGAGAACAGAGAAGTTAGTGGTCTTCAAATGATACACATTAAATGTTCTACTGTCCAAACGCAACAGCAAAACGTCTGTTCTGTACTGTAGCAGGTAATACTTGACAGTTACTGAAAAAAGTTTAGAGTGCTGTCTACATCCTTAACGGGGAAAAAAAAAGAAAAAACGACCACCACCAACAACAAAAAAACCAACTAAAAAACCCCAAAACAAACCAAGAGAGAGAAACAATTACCAGTCATTAGTGCTGGAGAGAAAAGGCCAGCAGATTGTTAACAACTCAGACATAAAAGGCTAATTCTCTCCCAAGATCCTAAGCCAATTTAAATCGCAGGTCCCAGGGCACTGACAGTTTGCAGTAACACAGCACCTTCCCCCCATGCAGGATTACATGCAAAGACTGCTGTAGAGCACCCTTAATGATTAATGGACACAGATGAATGTGTGATTTTTTCTTTTGTATTTATCATTTCACCCTTCAAAATTAAAACTAATTTTAATCTGCAAATTTAAAGACTTTATTTATTTGAACAAACAACAACAGCAAAAGCTCAGGATCTGAGCATGCTGTAACTTACTGTTCTTAATAATAAGAATCAATGTTTTCATTGAGGGAATTGAAAAGAGTACTTGTCCCCTTCAGCTTCACTTGGAAACTAGACAGGTTTTGTGCATCATTTTT